CTCCCTCCTCATTCCCCTTCTCTGTGCATCTGGCCTCTTGTCTCAGTGCTAACCAAGAGTGGAAGGAAAACTAGAAATCCATAACGCTGCTCGCCAGGCCTTTGGCTTCAGCCAGAGGAGACAGATTGTGTTGGTGGGAGTAATTAGAAAACAACCACAAACTCAAATTTCAAATCTGGGAGCCTGTAGGAGTTGGTAAACCAGGTTGGCTGTGCCTCGTTTTCCTATGCTGTGTCACAGGAGGGAGGATTTACAGAAGCGTTTCCCGGCCTTTCAGTAAGGGAAGCTCGAGTGAGCCATGGACATGCTAGAGCCAGATGGGTGCTGGCAGCTGTCTCGGGCCCTGGGAGGTCCTGCAGGAGCTGTGGACGCTTATGGCTGGTTCCACACTCAGCCTTGGTTCCTGTCAGCGGTCCACATCCCTGCAGCCCCTCTCGCCCACAGTGCCTCCTGCTCCTCTCTTGGGAAGACGCTGTTCCAGCCAGATGCCTGAGGCTCTCACGTGAAAAGACAGGACTCCCACAGAAGAGTCCCCCTCATTCTCTCTCCTCAAATCATCCAGGTGTTAGTCCAGCCACAGAGCTGATGTTTCTCCAGGAGAAAGCAGGCCATGGGAAGCTGGCATCATCTCCCCTAAACCATGTGGAGAGGAGCAGGGGCCACATTCAGCAGCCAGGTCTTCGTGAGCTTTGCTCCCAGTTCACCTGCATCTGTGTTCTCAGACTCAGACTCTCCCAGCACAGGATCCGCTGGGCCTGTTGCTTCAGATCATCAACACAGGGCCGGCTTCCCCCGCAAAACACCAAGGGGCAGTGTGTGCTTCAGGTGACTTAGAGAAGCGATGGCACATTCCAGTCTAGAGCTGCAGAAGCTGTTCAGAGCCCCCTTCAGGACGGGGTGTGATCAGCAGTCATGAGGCTCACTTCCTTCCTGGTCCTTTTCCAAAGCTGTCCTAGGCTCTCTAAAGACGAGGAGAAGGGCAGGGCACACTGGGGACCCTTCTCTTGACTCCCTCTCCCTCCTTCCACCCTCTGGCACTCCAACATCAACAGCACACCATACCCTGTGGGCTGCCCAAACCCACCCACTAAGCCCTCCCACCTGCTGCCCCCTGAGACTCATGTTTCTAAATAACTCAAATTACAAAATGGTGCCTGAATTGGGGGAGGGAGAGGACCAATGAAGTAGTAGAAGGAAAAGGAATATATTCCATTTACTGAATGATACGCTCCATTAATTTTGCTATTAATATTTGTCGCCCTGCTAAGGCACATCTTAAGTACTTACTCTAATGCCTGGCACATAATAAGTGCTCACTAAATAATAGCTGTTGTGGTTGTCTTTTTTTCTCTCCTTTTTTCCCCCTGGGGTTTCCCCTCAGCTCTTTCAGCCCCCGCCCCTCTCCAGACAGCCCTGGGAGCTGACCAAAGGCTGAGCAGCTGAAATAGCTGCATAGGCGCTTGTGACTTGCATGGCCGGTCTTCAGCATCTTCATGGCCTATCTGGTGTCCCGCAGGTATGCCCTGAGGACCAGGTGCGCCTGCCTGATGTGATTCTCAGGCCTGGGAAGCCTTGTGTGGTGGGCCCCAAGCAGACGTCTGTGGTAGGGAGGGCTTTGCCTCCTACCTGGTGTCTTGCAGCATATTGTTCCTGCTCTGGGCTTGGCTCCTTCTGCTGGGACCATTCCTACCTGCCCAGGTGGCCTGTGGAGAGCCGGCAGCAGTCTTGGAGACACGGTGCACTAGGGCAGGAAGGGTCCGGAGAGGCCCTTCAGACCATGTAGAGAAGACTAGAGAAGGGAAGTGACTTTCTTAAGGCCACACAGCTTGCTGGGGTGCAGCCATAGTAGGCACTGGAGTCGCTGACTCTTCTGTGCTGTTTTACCCTCTGGTGCGGCTTCCCGATTTCTCCTGTGCCGGCCCCCTCCTTGGCCAAGGCTGCTTCTGTCCCCTGAGCTGACAGAAATCTTAAAACAACAGTGTTCACAATAGCAGCCACATGGATTGAGTGCTTATTCTGTGCCAGTGAGTGGGCTGAGGCTGACCCTCACAGCAGCGCTGCAGATGGGCAGGAGGTGGTATTATCGTAGCCCCATTTTACAGATGAGTAAGCCAAGACTTTCAGAGATGGTCACTTAGCTCAGGCCACGTAGCTTAGCAGTGGAGAAATGCAGCATCTGACTGCAGAGCGGTCTGTTCCCCACTACGGGGCATTGTGGGGATGGGAGCTGTGAGCACTGACTGTTCGTGTTCCCAGGCTCCCACGGAGTGAGGTTGTGGGGCTGCGCCTACCTGCTCATTTCATGGGGTTTAATTGGTATGGCTTAGCAGACTAATGGGGGGAGGCCTGGTGTTGGAGAAGGGGATGTGGATAAACACACGTGTGACCCCAAACTTTCTTCTGCAGCGATGATACCTGATAATGAAATGAGCAAACTTCAGGATTGTTGCTAGATTGTGATAGGAATGTGCATTTTGCTAATTTAGTTATCATCAGGGTTTCTGGCTTTGATTTCTTTTTGCATGTGACTTTTATTGCAGGAAGCTTCTCTCAGCCTGTTCTCATTAAATCCCAAATTGAGCAAGAATCCCAGCAGGAAAAGAGCAGCTCCAGGAGACCAGGCCTCACTCATTCACATTGTGTGTGCAGTTGGGTATTTGACTCGATCTGTGTGTGTGTGTGTGTGTGTGTGTGTGTGTGTGTGTGTGTGTGTCCGTCCCCTTTTGAGAAAATTTAAAAATAACTTTCTGCCAAAGATGTGGGCACTCAGGATTGTGTTGCTGAGCAGGCGTCCTCCTCCCACCCGTGGTCTGCTGCTCTGCTGATGTGGCCTGGCTGACGTGGGCAGCTCATCTGCCTGCAGAAGCCCTGCCCCTCCTTTAATGTACTTTCCAAGAAGAAAGGCCTAGGAAGCCATGGGGAGGGAGAGACTGCCAGGTGCTGAGGGCAGAACTCAGCTGTGAGGGACAGAGCGGCTGGCTTGGCATGATTTCACTTGGAAGCCCAGGGACCTGATCAAGTTGCTTGGGGATGCCAGCAAGAAACCCAGAGAGGCCACCTGGAGCAGGGCATCATTATTATGCCCATTTCACACATGGGAAGACTGAGAAGTAAAGAGTAGAAAGGATACATGAGTTACATGCCAGATGTAGAGCTAGACTGGCACCATGTATCTAGAACCAACTCCCTCTAGGCCCCAGAGGGGTAGATATTTTATTATTGTGACTTGTTCACCCACTGCTTTCCTTACGTCCTCCCTCTAATATTTGTGAGATTCCCTCTCTAACAAACTTAAGTGGTATCATAGTTTGGAAGTGATTTTTAAAAAAAATTTTGTTTTAGCCCAAATGTCTGTTCATTCATATATTCCACAAGTATCTGTTGAGAATTGACTATGTGCTCCTCAGCATTTGAGGCATTGTGGATCCAGTAGTGAGCGAAACACACAGGTCCTGTGACCTGCTGGGGCTTGTGTTCCAGTGGGGGAAACAAAGGTTAATCATGTAACCAACCACACAGCTACGTGGCTGCCAGCTGTGATGTGCGGCGCAAACACCACAGAAAGGATTTGGTGTATGCTCCTAGCAAGGGACTCGGCCTAACCTCGGTGGGGCCAGAAGTCCATGTTGAGTGTTTCCAGTCAGCCATTTTGTACTTGGGTGGTTGTTTAGTTTTTGTTTTTGAGCCAAAGTATAGGCATTTTAAAACTGTTCTTTTAAACTTCCTCTCAAGCTCGGGTCCTTGTTGCTGGTTTTCAGGGGGGTATTTAACACCCAATGTATTAGCTATTCCTGTTTGCTTAGTGTGTAACCTGCGGGTTTGATACATGCACCTTCTGAGAGTTTGTCCAAATCGTTGTCCTCAGTTCCTCCTAATTTACAATGGTTTTCCAGTCCCGTTGACCACTACCAAGGACCTCTGTCTAGGAAGACTTAGAATCTATTCGTCTCCATTCCTCAGTGATGAACAGCATTGTTTTTGGGGATTTATTTCTTCCTTGATTAGCCATTAAAATATTCAGAATATCTACCACCTGCAAGGTCTTCCACAATCTTGGGTGTATATTCAGTTTTGACCAAGAATTTAATTGACTAAAGGTGTTCTCTTCATCCATGTCTGTCTCAAGCTTCGCATCTCTCTGGTTCACATTTGTTCAACCATTCTCTTTAGAAGAAATGATGGAATCAAATTAGTATTGATTCACCCACTTCCCTACCTGTCCCTCAAAGCTGCATGTCACTACTCCTAGGAAACCACTTTTCTCTGTCTCCTTGTATCTTAAGGAGGACAGAAGTGAGAGCAGATCGTGTGACAGGTCGGAAGTGTGCCCTGACCCAAGGTGTAAGGTGCACAGGATGAGAGAGTCCTCTGGAACTATGGAAATCCTTCTGTCCCTGGAGGAAGGGTACTGGGCGAGGCGTCACCTTGCTACCACATTTTAGAGGTATGCTCCAGGGACCATTCCTGAAGCTCCCCGGGGGTCAGGACCAGGGCCTTTAGATCCTGTGCATGATGTGAACACAGTCTGTGGAACCTGGTTCAGATCTCAGCCCAGATTCCTTAAAAACAATTGCAACCAGGAGTTCCCCGATCCATCTGCTCTCTGGACTTGCCTCCCTGGACGCAAGGGATCATAAATGGGGCTTCCTCAGTTTAAGGAGGAAGAAGCTTGGTCTCAGGAGATAAATGTCCCACGAGCCCTGGGTGGTAATCCTAGGCCAGATGTGCCAAGGGGAGAGTGGTGTTCCAGGCCAGATGTGGAGTTGGGGGTGTGCCCAGTCTCTCCAGATTCTCAGGTCTCTGCTTGACAGTGTCCTCCCTTTGCTCCACACTCAGATTGGAATCTGCAGCGCTGTAAAAACCCAAGAGCTTCTACCCCTGGGTTCCCCGGGACTCCATTGAGAGCCTCCGCAGCTGGCAGCCAGGGGTTTCAAAGGTCACCCCAGCTGGGTGGATTAAAACAACAGATCTCCCTGACCGGGTAAAGCTGGCTGCCCAGCGGAAGGCAAGTTGCATTGCAACATCTGCGAGCAAAGTCAAACGCCCGTTAACTTTTTCAGTCTGGCCCTGGGCTCTGTGGCGTCCATCTCTCCTTCCCTTTCTTCTTTCTTGGCGGACCTTGGACAGGAATCTCTGCAGTGCAGTGGTAAAGCGTGGCTGCCCCAGCGTCCTGACTCATGTGAGAGCTGCCCCAGGGGAAGAGGCCACGGTAAGGCATGGTCCGTTCTCCAGTGTGTGTTCCTGCCCCACTGTGTGCTCCCATGGGTCACAGCACATCAGCCTGGCACAGCCCACAGCTGAGGAGCGGTCGGCTCAGGGATTAGGAGCGATTAGGGAAATTGTCAGGATTTGAGTGCACTGCAGAGGATTAAGGGGTCGACAGCAGAACTGTCATTGCTGGGGTATTTGCATCTGGGTGGTTTTACTGCCTCTGATGTGTGCTGTGGCTGGTCGGTGCACTGCCGACAGGTAGGCTTCCAGTGCAGGACCTGCGGGGAACCCTTCCCTGTAGAGAAGGCAGGGTATATGCAGGATGCCCTGCTGCCAGGTCATTTAAAATGTATGCACTTTGAATAGGAAAGGTTTCTATAAACTTGTTCTGCCGTAATTTGATCTCTGAGTTTTAACTTTTTTTTTTCTGAGTCTTTTTGCCTCAGAGTTGCACTCTGTTTTGGCCATAGTTGAAAGTGTTCCTTTCTGGGTTCAAGAGACAATTTAAAGTGCTTTTGATCAAATTAAAGTCAAATTAACTTAGTGCTGCTTTGACTGATTAATATATTCTGTTACTTGTGGAAACCTTATTTGGAGGTGAGCTTTGCCACAAGCTGAGAGTGTGTGTGTGTGTGTGTGTGTGTGTGTTGGGGGTAGGGGGGCTGCTTCCAGCTCTCAGACCACTGTTCTTTTTGACCCTCCCCCTCCATTTTTCTCTCTTCTTACTTTTCTATCCTTTGATCTGGGTGTAATTGGTACTGAACAAAACCCCCTAGTTGGTATGTTTGATTCCAGCCACTGAGTACTGCTCTGCTGTTAGAGAAAATATTGCAGAAGTTACCCAGGCCTCTGGTGTTCTTGGTGGGAATGTGGTCACCAGGCTGGGAGAGGGATTAGAAGGGAACAAGGATGGTTTGATTTTTTTTTTTTGATAGAGCATTCCAAATATGTCAGTAACTATTAATTGGCAGTGTGGACGGAATCTGTTTATTCTGCTGATGGCAGTGGGCGGGGCGATGGGCTGAGCGGAGCTGTTTGGTGTGTCTGGCCCGCCTGGGACTGGGCTCTGGTCCTGCTTGCATGATAGTTAAGTGTCTGTCCCCCACAGACACCTCGCAGCGGACTGGATGTCTTCTGGTGGTATGGACTTGCCTGTTCTGTTTCTAACCATAAAGCCAGACCTCCCTTAGTGTTGGGTGACTTCTGTCTTCTGTGTGCTTGAGGCCAAGGAGTTTCCTTTTGATGATAGTGTCTGGGGCCTTCGGGAGGTTTTAGATGGACCTCAGAAGGTCTTAGATCAAGAGGATTTGTAAAGAGGGTCATGAGCCTGATGTCACCACTCCTAGTTTCCAGCTCCCCAGAAAGCAGGGGTGGAAGAGCCCTGTGTCCTCCCAAACCAGGCCTGAGAGTAGAAGGGGAGGCCGCACGTTCCCTGCCTCCCAGCCCTTTTTCTCTCTGTAACTCCTAATAGTCTCCTCTTCAGTAGCCTCTGCCTACTGCATCTCTTTTTACTGGGAATAGCAAGAAATGCCTCATCTGGGTCTTGGGGCCTCCGGGAAGCCCACAGGCTATGACTGCAGTCACACTTCGGTTTGATTCCCAGTTCATAGCTATGAGATGCTGGACGAGTGTAATTGGCTTTCTGAGCCCCAGTGTCCTCATTTGTACAAGGAGCATCATCAGAACTGCCTTGCGAGGACTGCAGAACTGAGTGAGATTAGTGCCCAGCACTCTGTCAGGGGCACACACCCTGCCTATTGAAAAACGGTGCTGCGAGAATGGACACAACAGTCCTTCCCCACCTTTGCACGGAGTTCTGCCATCTGCCTCTTTCCAGTGTTCTGCAGCAATCCCACTCACCTCCCCTTGCGCTGAACATACTCGAGCTGGCCTGGGCATCTTGCTGTCCTTGGTGAAAGGGTCTGTGTCCTGCAGGGTGGGGAAACTGGTTTCCTTTGGGAGCTGGATGATGATGTTGAGAGCTACCACTTACTGAATCACTTTTACGCTGTACTATGTGTTTTTTATACACTCATTCAAATCCTCCCTTCAGCCTTGTGAGGTTGATATTATCATTCCCATTTTACAGAAGAGGAGACCAAGGCCAAGAGAGTTGCAGTACCTTGCCCAGCTCACAGCTAGAGAGTAGCAGTGCCCCTGGATTTATGGCAGGGTCTGACCCGCATGATACCTGCCCCCATCTCCACCCCACCCCTGGTGCTGGCAGCACAGAGTGTATCTGTCACCTCACATCAGTGACAGTGGAGGAGGGCAGAGGGAGCAGTATGTCCTCTGGGGTATGGTCCTAGGTAGCTCTGCAGGCTATAAGAACCCCATTCCTTCCCTACCCATGTTACCACATTCATCACACACACACGCAACTGTTCATTGCAGTATCCCTAGCACCTAGCTTGTCACGTCGTAGATGTTCAAGAAATATATTTTAATTGAGTGAATGAGTATATCCTGATTCTTGCCATGAAAATTATTACTTTGAAATGGTCCTCCAAACACAGCCACCAACACAATTATAGAAATATGGCAACGTGCTAATTGTTGGATCTAGGTGATGGGTGATTGAGATGCTCATTTTATCATTCTTTCTACTTTTCTGTGTGTTTGAAATTTTCCATAATAAAACTTACTTTTAATTTAAAGTTTCTATATTATTAAATTCCTATCATTATTTTCCTTGTAAGAATGCACTCATATAACTAACTGCCTGATATTTCATTGTACTTAACCAATTCTCACTGTTAGATATTTAACTGGTGTTTTTTTTTTCTATTTCTATTTAACTGGATTATTTTCCTATTTCTTTTGTTATAAATAATGTGATTAGCATTTTTATATATAAATTTGGGGTTGCATCTCTGATTGTTTCCCAATCATACATCTCTAAATGTTGGATGACTGGGAAAAGAGATAGACATTTTATTCAGAATCTTTTTGCCAAATTGCTTTCCAGAAATATTGTTCCAATTTATGTTCCCTGGGTGGGTTGAGTGTACCCACCTCCCCACAGTCTCACCAGCATTGTATGTTATCTTTCTTCGCAAGTGTCAACTGGGTTAGTTTTTTAAGATAATAGTTCATTCTTAAGTTGCACTCTTGGGTTTTTGTGGCTAGGCAGTGTCCATTTGTTTAGTGGTCTTCTATCTTCTGTGAACCAACCATCCAAGGCAGCGGTTCTCAACCAGTGGGTCGCGACCCCTTTGGGGGTCGAACGACCCTTTCACAGGGGTCGCCTAAGACCATTGGAAAACAAAAAGATATTTACATGACGATTCATAACAGTAGCAAAATTACAGTTATAGAGTAGCAATGAAAATAATTTTATGGTTGGGGGTCACCACAACATGAGGAACTGTACTAAGGGGTCGCGGCATTAGGAAGGTTGAGAACCGCTGATCCAAGGCATAGCCTCTGCCCATTTATTGTTGGACTGTTTTCTTTTTATATGTAAATTGTCCTACTCCTTTGTTTTTGTTACAAACATTTTATCCCAGATGATCATCCATCTTTTAATGTTTTTAATGGTATGTACTGACATAGAGAAAATCTTCATTTTTATTTATGTGGTAGCAGCTCTCACTTTCTCCCGTTACCCCAACCTCATGCCCCCTTCCCACCAGCCAATTATGACTGCTTATAGGAGGTGAGAGGGCCCAGTGATTAAGAATAGGGGCTCTGGTGCCAGATGCCAGGTTCCGATGCCAGCTCTGCCCCCTACTAAATGCCATCACCTTGAGCAAATGTCTTAATCTCACTGCACCTTGGTTTCTAATCCATAAAATGGAGATGATGTGATTATCTGTCTGATAGTGTTGTGTGGGGCAAATGAGCTGTTGCTTAGAATAGTTCCTGGCGTATAGTAAGGGCTATATAAGATTTGCTTTCATTGTTACCTAATGCACTGAACCTGAGTCTTATCATTTGGAAAGGATTTTGTTTGCAAAGCTAATACCTTATCAGTGAAAGAGAAAGCTGGATTTGTCAAGCAGGGATGTGCCCTGTTACAAACAGATCTAGGTGTTTGTTACTTTAAGTTGAACTTCAAACTATTATCTCCATTTTATTTTTGTTAGATGTCATTACTTTTAAACAAACTAACTACATGCCCTGCATACCACTGTTCATTTGTGTCAGCTTACCCAACTCACAGAGTAGGATTTAAGTGTATGACTGAAGATCCCAAGAAAGTGAACAGAAAAATAAATACTGTTCCTCTTCAGCTTAGCAGATGTTTGTCGCACGCCTGCACTAGTCCAGCCACCATGGATTCTGTAGAGAATAAGATGTGGTCCCCAACCTGGAGCCGTCCCAGCCCGGGAAGGCTTCCACCTGGACTTAGAACCTGGAACAGGGATACTTAGGATGTATTCTAGGTGGTGGCTGTGGGTGTTCAAGGACCTTGGCTGGGATCTGACCACTCAGCTTCTCTCAACTGATGCCTGTCTTCCCATTCTGGTCCTCCAGCCTTTCCTGTGGATTTTGGGAGCTCCCTCCACCCACCACCCCCCATTTTTCTAACAGATCCCTTCTCCATTTATGAGAGCCAGAGTCAGTTTCTGTAGTTTGCAACCAAGAACTCAGCTTCATACCTGTTGCTCACTCCACTTCGGGAATCAATCCTAAGCAAGTCGCTTTGTTCCAGCCAACCTTGCCAGCCCCCATCGACATCTTCTCTAGTCCTAATTCGGCCTCGGACCAGGAGTCAGGAACCCGAGGTGTTCTTGCCAGTGATGCCAAGAACTCTTTGGGGAAGTAACTTCCCCTTTCTGGGCCACAGTTATACATGGAGGAGTTAGCCCAGATAATCTTAAAACACCCTCTTCTCTAACGTTCTGTGACCTTTGAAGCTTTTCACAATCTAGTTCCCGGAAGTGGAACGTCCTCCCTAGCCTTGCCACCTTCCCTTCGTCCAACCACACACACGCTCACCTCGCCCGGGATCCTTGCTGTGTCGACCCCAAACTACTTTCTTTCTTGGCGGAGGGATCCCATTTTTCTTTGACCTGTGAGCTCTCATAGTTCAAGCAAAAGCGGCGTTTGCTTCCTACCACAGTGCCTCATGTAGATATTGATTCTGACTGGTCAGTGGCTAATGAATACTGATTTTAGATACCCATTGTAAAAACCCTGAGGACGGTTTGGTTTCTCTGTTCTTGCCCCAGCTGCCCCTTTCCTAGAAGGTCTCCAGGAGGTCTGGGGGAGGCTGGGGCGTGGTCCTGGGAGGTGGCGTCTGGGGCTGGCTGGGCCTCACCCCGGCAGCCTTGCTGTGGAGAACACAGAGCCTCTCGTTCTCAGAGAGGAGCTTCAGGTGGACCCTGATCTGATGGGGCACTTACTCCCTGTAAAACCCACACCACAGGGACCCAGCCCGCACGGCTGGGCCCGCTGCCGCCTGGCGGGAAACAGGGCTGGACTGTTCATCTCATCTGACCCTGCCTTCCTCTCTGTTCACAGACCATGGGGGATGTGAAGCTGGCTGCCTCGACACACGTTTCTAAAGCCTCCCTCAGTGTGGATCACTCGAAAGTCGGCTCCATGCCCCTGACCGAGGCCCCTGCTTTCATTTTGCCCCCTCGGAACCTCTGCATCAGAGAAGGAACCACCGCCAAGTTTGAAGGGCGGGTAAGAAGCTGGCTGGGTGGGAAGCTTGGGGGAGGTGGGAGGGGTCCTTGCTCTTTCTCGAACCTCTTCTTCAGCAGAATGGATCTGGCAGAGGACCTGGTTTGTTTGGGACCCACATGTGAAGTGAATATATACCATTTGCCCTATTTCTCTTGTTTATGATTGACTCTGGTCTGTGGTGGAGAGCTTGGGGGTGGGGAGGGACACAGATATTTTGCTGTTAATGTAGATCTTGTCTGGGTATGTGCTACCTGATGATAGGAGGAGAAGTCGTGGGCTGGTGACAGGAAGCATGCAGCTTGGGTTTAAATATGTGCCCTCAAATATGGATAATTGAGAACTGACTACAATTTTTCTTTCACTCCCTCCCTGGAAGGAGTGTTTAGTTGACTAACCCCCTCGTGTATCCACTTGGTACATCCAGAGTGGTGGGATTAGATATCGGACCCTTTATCAGCTCTGTCACCTTTTGCCAATGAACATTGCTCCTTGCCCTTACTGGGTCTCCATTTCCTCTTCTGCAAATGTGCATGATAATTCCTTGTCCACCTTGTACTAGAAATGAGGAGAAGATGGGAACATTGCAGAATGAAAGCTATCAGAATACCTGTTGTTATGCCCAGTCGGAGAGACTTTCAGTAGGCTGCTGGCTCAGGCCACCAGGAAGTCAAATTGTCCAGTTGACATGGAGATGCATGTGGAAGTGGGGAGTGCAGGTAATATTCTCCCTGGGATTAAACATGGGGTATGTACCCCAGGAAATGCTTTAGAAGCTAGAGGGCTTTGGTCCGAGCAAAATACAGCTGAGATGATGAGGAATTCTTAGGTTGCACTATGAATCTACAGTTGACCCTTGCACAACACAGGTTTGAACTGCACAGGTCCACTCATACGTGGATTTTTTTCAATAAGGGTACAATCAACCCTTCTTGTCCTCGGATTTCACATCTGTTGATTCAGCTAACCACTGATTGGAAAGATTATTTTTGATCTGCAGTTGGGACTCTACAGATATGGAGAGCTGAATTAAATTATACGCATATGTGGGTTTTCAGCCTTTTGGGGGTTCAGAGCCGGCCGAGTGGCTCCATTGGTTAAGAGCTTGCTCAAGAGTGCAAGCTCTGAGCAACAGTGGTTCAATTCCTGGCCCGAGCTGAGCTGCCAACAGGTGGCAGGATGGCTCAGCTGAAAAACAAACAAACAAACAAACAAAAAAACCTTTCGGGGGTTGGTGCCCCTAACCCCTGCGTTGTTCAAGGGTCAACTAGATGATTCAAGAGCAGGCCCCTGAAAGCTTGTAGAAGGAGGAGGTTGATCACATCACTCTTCCGGGATGACGCTGGGCGTTGCCTTTAAGGGCCCAGGTCTGGCTGGGTGGTCATCTGGAGCGTGTGCAGGGGGTGCTGCTTTGAACATGGCCCGAAGCTGCACTGCACTGTGTGCTCTGCACAGGCCTGTCTAGTTAAGACCGTTTGCTGGTGGATGTAACATAACAGTCTTTGTCATATCTTTTACTTGAAGAAGATTGAGGAGAATGTTGGTGATGCTGCTTAGGGGTCTGTTTCTTCTCTCTGGGCACTACCAGGATGAGGGTTCTTTTCTGTTACCCTGACAGTGATCTCCCCACATCCCGATATCCCCACAACTGGCAGGAAAGAAGCAACAGGAAGAATCCCTGGGAGGTTAGAAATGGCTTAGGCAGCCATAAAAAGGAATGAAATGCTGGTACATGCTACATGGATGAACACTGAAAACAGCATGCTAGCTGAAAGAAGCCAGACACAAAAAGCCACATGTTGAATGATTCCATGGCTATGAAATGCCCAGAACAGGCAAGCCTATGGAGATAGAAGGTAGATTACTGGCTGTCGGGGGCTAGGGAGGAAGAATGGAGTGACTGCTAATCTGTACAGGGTTTCTTTTGGGGACAATGATGGTTGCACAACTTTGTGAATACATTATCAAACACTGAATGTACACTTAAAAATAAAAAAATTGAAATGAACTTAAAAAAAAAAAGATTAGCAAAACTGATCTCATCTCTATAACCGCCCTCCGGCTCTCTGCCTCTGAGGGATGAATTTCGTCCTTAAATTCAGACAGACGTGAAGAGGAGGAGATGACCTTGCTTCCTGACAGCGTGATGATGGCCTTGCTTCCTTTGCTGACTTCGGAGGTCACCAAGGAGCTGTGCCTTTGAGTGACTTTGATTTGGGATTTTGAAGATGAGCACTGGCCCAGGAGTCAGCTCCCTAGAATTCTTTATTGCTCGTTGTTCTCCCCTTGGCAAGTCATACCTTCTAAAGACTTAGGTCTCCTTTTCCGAGAAGAAACAACTAGTTGTTTCTATATTTCTGGCTACAGGGATGTGAAAAGAAAAACGAGTTGAAGAAGAAAATGGTAAAGCACTTTGGAACGTTAAAAAGTGTAGCAATACAGTAGTTTTTTAATGAGATGAAATTCCCATAACATAAATGTAACCATCTTAAAGAGTTTGCATTTGATGCATTTCTAATGTTGACTGCAGTATTCGTAAAATATAGCATTCTCTGTGAAAATTTTATTTTGCTTATATTGATGAAATAGTTGACTTTGAATGTTGCATGTGGACTAAAAATGTGATCCTAAAAAGGCAGCCTCCAAGCTACTTTACCACTGACCACCTGCCTGGAATTAACCCGGAACAACACCTCGACAGCATGCTGGTGGAGAGTGGACACAGCAGGAAGACTATTCCAGAGAGACGTTGGAGGGAGTGTCACGCTCCATCTGCAGAATTGCAGAGGGAAACGCAGAGGGAGAGGCTGTCATAGAAAGTGCTCTGTAAACTAGCACTTTAAATAAACGAGTATATATTGTTACTGTAGCGGAGGACACAGAGGGACGTTTTGCATCGGGGTGAGGCCACCTCAAATGATTCCAGGATGAGGAAGCTAGCTGTTTTTATACCAGAGATGAAGTTCATCAGAAGTGTTCCTGACCTGGTGCCCTCAGAGAAGGGAAAGGGAAGGTAGTGTTAACCTGAAGAGACACAGACTATGACCGGGAGGTGCTAGTGATAAAAGACTGAGCTCCCAAGGGGTCATCCACTGAGCACGGTCAGTGGTTCTCTGCCTCCAATGTACGTTAACCTTCACTGCTGTGGCCACTTAATTCTGCCTGCCATGCCCATTTCCTGTTTGTGCTTATTGTTAGGTCAAGAGCTTAATGAACCTC